AAAAATCAATAAAATATATATATTTTTTTAAAAAAAGAACTTATTCATTTGCAAAGATCTTTTTGATAGAGAAGTTGTAGAGAATATAAATGGCTCATTCAAGAACCAGACCAATGACACACACACACAATACTTTCTACTCCCATTTTTGGTCAGAGCTCTTTCTACTCCCTTTTTTTTTTTTTTTTTTTTTTTTTTTTTTTTTTTGCCTCCTTACCTTGACAGATGTTCTTTTCTAGAAATTTGTACAGCCTTGAAAACATGAGGGGCAATTTATGGTAATTCCAGGTGGGGTGATTTGGTTTGGGAGAAGGCCATCAGACACAATTTTCTCTGCCTCTGGCAATAAAAACCCAGACTTTGCCCCGTTTCATTTGTTCTGTGTTACCTATAACAGGAAGTCCCCTTATAAAATACCAGATTTCCAGTAGAGATTGTGACATGGAGTTCCCATCATAGATCCTAAAACCCAGCCACCTGGACTTGGAGGCAGCATGGCATAGAAGAGCCAAGTCCTAGATTCAGACAGACCTAGTAAGGTTTGTGCTCTGCCATAGACGCCTGTGGTAGAAGAGCATTTAATGACCTGGAGACGTGTAGGTGATGCCTTAAAGGGAAATGAGTACAATAGAATTTTATCCTTTTTTGTTCAAAGACATTTTCCCATAGTGAAGCACAACTTTAGGAAGTTGCATATCAAACAATATCCATGTTTCCAGTTAGGGAGAAGTGTTCATGTTATTCTGAGCTGTCAGAATTCCCTATAAAGACATGTTTACTCATTTATCAACTCTTCATTGAGTGCCTTTTATTCAGCAGCCACTACACTAGATGTTGGGCATACATAGAGATGGGGTGGAGGGAATAAGCAGATCCAGGCTATGCTTTCATGAAAACGAGACCTGAATTAAAGAGGGAAATGATTATACATACATAGAAGAATATCATGCTTATTTGATGATAAAATCAGTACGATGGCTAGCTGTCAAAAGGTCCCCTGCACCTTTACTTCCTGTCCCTCCCTCCAATGATTCTTGGAATTGGGAGGACAAAAGGTATGGCTTCCCTCCTGGTTTTCCTACTGAACAAGCTAATCAGTAGGAATGTAAAAAGATAACCTATTTAAGTAAGTATAGGGGCTCCTAGTTCTGTTTGATGTCTCCCTTCTTATAAAGCCCACACTCCCTCATGAAGAAAGGACACTTTCCTCCTAGCTTGGCACATCCAATTCGAATTCTCTAGGCATCAGGAAATCTGGATTCAAACCTGTCTGTACTCAACCCTTTGTTTCTTCTCCCTGAGCCTCACCGCTCCTCTGAAGCTTCCTGGACTCTACCTGATGGGAAGAATCAAGGAGAAGAACATGCTGGGGGACACAGTAGGGTCCAGTCACCAGCCCACCATCAGCAACAGCGGGACCACCCTTAGAGTCTGGAACTGGTGTTGTCCATGTACAAAAAGGCTCTGCATCGTGTTTCAAAATACTTTATTTTTCTCCATTTTAAATATTTGCAAAAAGGAGTAGTGAATTATAGACAATTCAAAATCCCAAATCTCTTATGGAATTGTCTAGTACTGCTAAAACGAAGAACTCATTTGCAAAGGAAAATGCTTTTTAAGTGCCAATAATTCCTCCTAAGTTTTAAGTAAAATTTCAAATCATCATCAACAAGTACATCTTATGACTTATCATGAAACCTTCTGTGCCGGTTAAGCTATTCAGATATCCAGATTGCTAAGCATGTTTTCCAATTTTATAAAACAGAAAAGGTTTTCAACCTGGAAGGACAATAAAATGCTGTGCCAAAATGAGACTCCTTTACCTTTCCATCCATTGGCAGGAATACCTAACACGGGAAATTTACCGCTTGTGGTTGAGCAAAGTCAAATGTCGAGATTTCCCAGAGAGTCTGTCTCAATCTGCCGAGTTAGCAAAATGAGGAGTGCTTGTTTGGCTTTCTGGGTCATGTTTTGGAACTCTCTGGTTTCTCTTACCGTCGGAAAGACATGGCTTACAACACAGTGGCTCCGCAAACAAAAAAGTCCTTTCAGGTCAAAGTGATTTGCCTTCCAGTTTTTCTCGAATTAAAATGGACTCTCTGCTTCAATGGAGACTCGCACCTCTCTTCCCATAATCCCAAAACTGTACCCTCTGATCAGACCGCCTGCATGGGCATTCTACCCAGAATCAGGGCCCTCCCTTCTCTGAAGCCCCCAACGTGATTCAAGAGCTCCCAGTTCACCACATCTTCTCCCAGGGATGGGGAACTCCCAGCAAGGAGACCTGACCCCAGCAGATCTTAGAAGGGAAGCTGGGACAGGTACCACTCATGAAGACTGGGATAATGATGACATGAGTCCCTGGTTGGTATAACTGCCCTTCTTAGCATATAGATGTGCTTACCTGCAGGCCCTGCACACTTGGGAAAGTGTGGAGACCTGGCATTTGGACCAGTGAGAAGGTTTCAGGGTCAAGGAAGAATTGAATCTGTGGCTTCCTGTGCTCTAACCGGCTGCAGCATGTCCCAGATCTGTTTCTCATCTTCCAGGCCTGCCACTTTTCCAACTCTAACCCTGGGGGCCCTCTCAGAGAGGTAGAAAAATCATCAGAGAAGGAAATTCTTTGTGTTTCCTCAGGCCTTCACCACAACACCATCCCATCTCCAATGAGACTTATAACCTCCAAATCCTGACTCTCTTCCCGCTCCTCCCCCCAGTCTTTCTTTAGTGCATGAGAACCAACACCTCAGCCTGCCTTTCAACCTCTCAACTAGTATTCCTGCTTGGATGACTACACGTGCTTCCCTTCTACTAATGACGTGTATGGGTTTTCTGTTGTTGTTGTTTTTTCTCTTTTCAACATTTTGGGCTCTCTTTTCTGTTTGAAATACTTGTAACAATAGCTTTCTGTTTTAAAATATATGTTTTTTTATTATTATGGTGAGGCCAACAAGTCAAGAGATGACTGACCTGAGAAGATAGTTTGTACTCTACCCGGTTTGGCTCAGTGGATAGACCATCGGCCTGTGGACCAAAGGTTCCTCAGTTTGATTCTGGTAAGGGCACTCACCTTGACTGCAGGCTCCTCCCCAATCCATGGCTCTGGTCGTGGCTCATGCAGGAGCCAATCAATAAATGTCTTTTTCTCACATTGATATTTCGTTCCGTCTTTCCCTCTCTTTTCCACTCTTCCTAAAAATTAATGGAAAAATATCCTTGGTGAGGATTAAAAAAAAAGGGGGGGAAGAGGGTGTACACACTTCTCTTTGAGCCCCAATTGCTCTACATGAAATTGTTTTATTCAGGCCTGGGGTAAAGAGGACCTTCAAAACTATCTGGTTCTCCTTTCCTGGTGACATAACAGTTGCTGCAAACATCTCAGTTCTATCCCCCTGACACCCTCTGCCCCAAAGACATCGTCAAACCCAAGCTCATGAATCTCAGAGTCCAGTACATGTCCCCTCTTTGCACTTGTTTTTTTAAATTTATTAACTATTCATGGGCCTTTATTCACCCACTAAGAACGAATTTGTTGCCTGGCCAGTATGCTCAGTGGTCAGCATCAACCAATAAACCAGGAGGTCACGGTTTGATTCCTGGTCAGGGCACGTGCCTGGGTTGCAGGCTCCAGCACTGACCCCTGTCCACGCCCTGACTCCTCCAGCAGTCACTGAGGAGCTGTGCTGGCCCACTGACACTTCAGACTCATAATAACCAGGGACAGACAGGGTGCCCATAGGGCAATGCTGGACACAAAGAGCTCACCCCCTCCTTTCCTCTGACTGGAAGCTGGCACGTCCCATGTGGGCTGCAAATTTATCATACAGCATCCACTCCCACTGTGAGGGGTCTCCAGGACTGGGTGAGGGAAAGCAGAGGACTGCCATCCACTGCCCCCAGTCAGGAGCCAGCTCGGATAATACTCTTCTTTGTAGCTGAGCCAGCTGAGCAGGTCATTCTGTGCTCCGGAGCTGAGATCTGAGCATATGCAGTCAGAGTGATGAGAGGCACCTTCCAGGATCCCCGGTAGATTTGGTGAGCTAGCCTGTCGGTTTTGAAGCTGACGGACTTTAGAATGAACTCAAAGGGATTTCATTTCTGACACATCTGCCATCTGGCCCAGCAGGGACCATCCTGAGGGAATGATCAGCAAAGCAAGGTCCCAGTTGGAGGAGATGGCCCCTAACTGCACTCCTTCCAACAGTTCGGGTAACACATCCTAGAGCCCCTCACCCTTCCTCTCCACATCCAGGTGGCCCTGCCTTGGCCCCTCCAACTCTAACAGCAGAGCTACTCTTGACCCGTGGCTGCGAGTCTATTGTGTTTCTTCAGGATTGCACAACGGGAAAATGACCTATGCATGAAGACAACCCCTACTGTCCAGTAAGTGTCCTTTGTACCTTTTTTAGGAGAAATGACCCCGAGGGACTTTCCCCAGGTGCCAAATCTGGCTTCTCTTCTCTCCCCAGGATCCAGCAGGGAGGGCTCAGCATCAATAAATAGCAGCCAGCTGTCCCCAGCAGGCAGGGACCAGCGGCTCCTCTCAACCAGAGACCAGGTAAAGGACCACTCCCACAAGGGCTTGCTCTCCAAACTTTACTCTGTGTTCTCTTTCCAGCAAGACTGTATCTTTATTTTAAAATAATTATTCTCTTCTGCAGTTGTGCTATATGGGGTCTGTGTCGGCCGAGTGGCACAGGGTAATGCTTTTGGTCTCATTACAGGCTGCCCCGGAGGGTTTGTTTGGTCCTGACTGCTCTGTTGCTCCCTTAGTGCCACCTTGGTGACCTCCTAGACAGTCTTGGGTTCGGGGTTGATGGGTTCAGGATTGAGGACCATGGCTCTGAGTGAAGTCCTCCTGCAGTTTCCTAGATGGGCAGCCAGCATCTCAAGAGAACAAATGGAAATGCATAGCCGGGCTACCTTTGACGTACAAATCCCCAAAGGAGGGTGTCAGTCCTGCCTGTGTCTCTCTGACCCTCCTCTCTCATTTCAGCACCATGAAGCTTTTTATGGGCCTCCTGTTCTGCTCCTTGGTCCTGGGAGTCAGCAGTCAGAGCTGGTTTGAATTCATTAGCCAGGCTTATGAAGGTAAAGTCCTTTGGGGAACGAGGGAGACGCAGAACACATGACCACTAGGATTCACCCTTAGTGCCCTTCAGGGTTGAGCTACTGTGTTAGCTTGTGTTGCCTGATGTGGTGGAATGTGCCAGGTGCCTCAGGAGCTTTTCATCAAACAGAGGAAAAACCATAGGTCTTACCTCAATCAGTTACTAGAGAAAGAACAATCAGCTGAAGGGTAAGTTTAGGACTTGAAATGGTGTGCTATTTCCCTTAGACCAAACTGCACCAAGCGTGATTAAAGCTACCCATCTTTTCTTCCCCTCCTCCCACTCCCTTTTTCTTGCTTTCTCCCTCCCTTCCATTTCCTAACCGGGTAGTATAGTGAGACCTGCAGCTTAGGTCTTGCTGGGCCTTCCAGTGGTTGATGACAATATCCCTGTTTCAGTCTGTTTCCATCCTTTTCCATCTTTTTTAACTGACCAAAGGGAATACCCATTGAGCTTCCTCTAGAAACTCAGCACTTCCATGCAACTTAAGGTGACCAACTCTCCTGGTGTGCCTGGGTCTAGCGAGTTTTCCATGACACTTTCAGTGCTAACTGGAACAGTTCTGGTCAACCGGGGACAGTCAGTCACCAGTCTAAGTGGAGAATAACTTGGTGGGCAGGTATCTTTCCCTACTTTGAAGCTTAGAGCAGTTGACTCAGGGAACCTGGGACTACTTGTCAGTCAGCAGGTGGCAGGGCAGAGTGTGAACCCAGCTGTGCAGGAGGCCAAAGTCTTGCCAGGCAGATGTGTCTGAGCACTGCTTCCTAGAGCTCAGAGGTCCCAAATCCCAGCTACCTGAGGGAATCACCTGGAGACATTAAAACGATGGAGGCCTGGGACCCACCCCCACAGAGTCTGAGATGATGGCCTGAGATGTGGCATGGGCCTTCCTCAGTCTCCCCAGGCTATGAGAAGGTGCAGCCAAGGCTGAGACACAGGCCCCTGCTCTAGCGCTTGCCTGCTCACAGCATCAGTCCAGTCTCTGTGGGCGGATTCCAGGATGCCATGTATGCCCCTCACACTCAGAGGGACTCACCTCAGGATTCCCAGCATTCTGCCTGCAACACTCTGATTCTTAGGGTCAGGCAGAAGTGCTGTATGCCTGCACTTTTCTCACAATCTGCTTTCCATGTCACCACCAGGCTCAGCGAGTCCCCTAACACTATCCTATGTAGCTTCTCTCCATATCCCAGAGCTTCTTCATCCTGAGTCCCTTGGTGCCCCGGGGACATGTGGCAATGTGGGAAACACTGCTGGTTGTCACAGTGGGGTAGGCTGCTTCACCAAGTGGGCAGAGAGGCGGGAATTCCGGGGAACTTCCCACCTTACTCAGGAAGGCCCTGAACACAAAGGATTCTCTGGCCCCAAATTTCAGCAGCGCTGACATTGAAATCCTGTTCTGTCATGTGGCCTTCCTGTCTCCTTTAAACACATGCCCCAGAGGCCTAAGTGTGCTGGAGCCCACAGATAGCATGACAGGCATCAGACCACCAGGGACAACCCAGCTGTGCCCCCACCTAAATGTCTCTCCTTAGAGTCACCTGGGGAAGCCAACTTGGCCTGGAGAATGTTCTTCTCAACCTGTGGTCTCCAGGATGCCGTGACCACAGGGTGAAACTGAGTGGTCCATTTTCACTCCTTGATTCTACTCTAAGGAGTGTCACTGTTCATGGATATTTCACCTGATGTCTCTGTGTCACGGTTCATGGATATTTCACCTGATGTCTAGGAACCAAAGACATGGTGAGAGCCTATATGGACATGAGAGAAGCCAATTTTATAGGCGCAGACAAATACTTCCATGCCCGGGGGAACTATGACGCTGCCCAAAGGGGACCTGGCGGTGTCTGGGCTGCTGAAGTGATCAGGTAACCGGGCTCCTGGGATGCAGGATGGGTGAGCAGAGCTTGGCTGACTGGGCATGTGGAGGGCATTGGCCCTAGAGAAGAAGCCTGTTTGGTCTGTGGACTCTTCCTCATGTTCTTCCTTCCACCTTCCCCATCCCTGCCCAGCACAGGGCCCGGGCTGCCAGCAGAGCCAGAGAATGGCTTGTGGGCCTGTCCCCAAAAGAGAAACTGAGGGCCAAGAACTGATTCCCACTCTCCCCTCTGGTGCTGTTCTCCCAGTGGGAGGGGGTCACCCTGGGCTGAGTGGGCTGTGCCCAGGCAGGGTCAGTGCCGAGCCTCTTTCCAGGCTCCTCTCAGAGTCATTAATCCCTTGGAAAGGAGAGGGTGGAACTGCTTCTCCCCATACCCTGATTCACCTCCTAACTGCCCTCCTCCATTCCAGTGATTTCAGAGAGTCTTATCCAAGAGTCACCGACTTCCTTAAGCATGGAGACAGCGGCCATGGATTGGAGGACTCAATGGCCGACCAGGAAGCCAACAGATGGGGCCGGAGTGGGAAAGACCCCAATCACTTCAGACCTCGTGGCCTGCCCGACAAGTACTGAGCTCCTTCACTTGCTCTCAGGAGTTGGGGTGTGAGCCCCCTAAGGGCAGGGACCCGGAGCCATTGAGTTCTATATCCCCAGATGCTGACAGAGGGCACATAATGGATGTCTAATAAATGCTCAAGAGTTTGAATGTTGAAATCAGTGTATTATTCTTCGTTGTAAGGACTGGTCATTGATACCATGGGGTGATGGATGTAAAGCCATGGAAGATCACGCCTGTGCCTACATATCTGGGTGTAGGGGAACACAATCTCAAGTCATACAGGGCAGACACCCTGCACCAACTCTCCCCAAATCAGACCCTCTCTCCTCTGCTTTGTGCTATTTCAGGCCCTTCATATTCAGGCCTCCGAACTTCCTGTCAATTTTGTCCAGTCACTGTCTCTGGCCCCGGGCAGATATTAATAAGATTAACATTAATCTTATTAAAATTAAGTTGCTCAGTGGTTTCTGTCTGGGGGCGGGAGACACAGCCATGGGAGGATTAAACCATGGGATCCTGTTCTACATCTGCTGCCTTGATACTCTGTTCATTTCTGAGCAAATCCAATTATTCATCAATTTCTGTCCTTGAAATTCCTCCATAGTAGTTTTCCTCCAGTGTTTTTTTATTGCCTCATTTCAAGCCTAAATGCAGATATAATGCCGTCTGACTTGTGAATATTTCCTCCCAGCTTCTGCATATTAGCCACCTCAAAATGGCGGAATTGGTAGTGAAGAGAGAGCAGGATAGAGAAGACACCTCTTATCTGTCAGGGTCCAGTTAGGAGACAGAAACCAGGTGGTCATTTGAAGAGGGAAATTTTCATAAGAGGATTATTAATTGACAATATGATTCATCTGCTAAGGGGTTAAAGCACACAACAGGGCTGGAAATCTGTAGCCCATTGGAAGGCTGTAATGATTGCTGGGTGTCTGAAGTCAGAGTTGATAAGCAAGAACTCGCATGAAACGTGGCAGGGTTGCAGTTGCACTCACAGACCAGGTGGGGGCAGGAGGTAGAGAGCCTCTGAACTCCCTGGAAGCTAGCTGTGAAAGAGCCAGTGCTCTGAATTGAATTATGTCTGTGCCTCCTCTCTTCCCCAATGTATTATGTTGAAGTCCTAACTTCACTGTGGCTGTATTTGGATTAAGGAAGTAGTTACGGTTGCATGAGGTCACCAGTGTGGAACTCTTCACTAGTATTTCTCAGGCTTTTTTTTTTTTTTTTTTTAATTTTGAGTGGAACAGGATAACTAGAGTGGGCTGGAGTTGGTTATTTCCCTTCCCCAGGTCAGTTAGACACATCATACAGTTTCCCGTGAGTGCAGGACTGGTTAAGAACAGAGTACAGCCCCTGCTGGAAGACAGAGGGGTTTTTTCTAAGATATTTTTTGTGTGTGTGTGAGAACCTGGTTGAGCTCCTGAAGTTAAATCTCACAATATTGTAGAGAACCCCCTATAACTGAGTCCCCCTAGAGGTTTTAACTCTCAGAGTTAACCCCACTGAGCCTCCAGCAATTCAACAATTCTAGTTCAGTTTCCCCCAGCAGTTTCAGCTCCCAAATTCCAGGAAGTCTGGATCCCTGGATCCATCTGTCTCCAATTACAGGCGCAGTGCTTTGCCCTGTGTCCTTGCCTCTAAGAAGATTCGATTTTTCATTCTGTTCAGCTTTTCACTTGTTAGATGAAGTGGTGATATCCAAGCTCCTTACATGCAGAACTGAAGCTGATCTTATTAATTTGGCAATTGAATATTTTATCAATTTTCCATCAAAATTTGACAAATTCAATTTTTCTGCACTTTGAACTCCATGTGCTGTTGCTCTTTATGATATTCTCTATGTACTAGCTTCGGCAAAGAGGTGTGGGGCAGTGGCTAAGTATTTCTGCACACAAGTAAAGGCTATCTTCTCCCTCAGATCAGTGTATGTCAGAATTTGCTGTATGGGCCACCCCCATTTCAATTTGCTGGGAGAGCTTATAGAAACGGTGTGTTCCTAAGCCTCCTCTTAGAGGAGAAATAGAGCTAGGAATCAGCAGTTTGAACAATCACCTCGGATTATTTTATGCATAATACCAATGAGAACAGCTGTCTCAGATTTTGCTACCACCTAGTGTGAGGCACTTGGAGAAAATGCCCCATCCATCAAGAAAACCTGGGATGAATGTCAAGCAGGCATCAAAGAAAGAACAGTCATTATGCCCTGATAGAAAGAGACTCTTCCATAGAATCATCGAACACTAAGTATATGAAATTATTAGGAAATTCTCCATAGAAAAAGTACATAAAGAAAAAGTAAAACTATCCATCATCATCTTTCTGTTTTTCAAACGAGTTAGCTTAAAGAAATCCTTGACAGGTAAGTCATAGCAGGATTCAGCAAATATTTATTGATTGAGCAATGTAGGCACAGACAGCTCTTCCTTACACGTGTTTTCAGCATCTATATTCCCGCTAATCTTATCCTCACCCGAGGATATTTTCTCCATTGGTATTTGGAGAGAGTAGAAGGGAGAGGGAGAGACAAAGAGAGAGAAACATCCGTGTGAGAGAGAGACATATCGATCGGCTGCCTCCCGCACCCATCCTTACCAGGGCAGGGGATTGAGTCTGCAACCAAGGTATGTTCTCTTGAGCAGAACTGAATCCAGAACCTTTCAGTCTAAAGGCCAATGCTCCCTCTACTGAGTTAAACCAGCTAGGGCCCACTTATCTTACTTCTAAACTTGTTTTCATTGAAATATAACTTACATGCTCAGTGAACTTTTGTATGTCTAAAAGCCCACGTTACCACCATAAGATTAAGAAATATTGCTGAAACTGGTTTGGCTCAGTGGATTTTCCAGGTTCGATTTCGGTCAAGGTCATGTACATTAGTTGCGGGCACATCCCCGATAGGGGGTGTGCAGGAGGCAGCTGGTCGATGTTTCTAGCTCTCTATCCCTCTCCCTTCTTCTCTGTAAAAAATCAATAAAATATATATATTTTTAAAAAGAAATATTATATTTCCAGCACACCAGAGGATGCCTCATGCCCTCTGCCAGTTAAGGTCCCCCACCAAAAGCAAGCCCTTTTCTGACCTCCATCACTATAGATTATTTTTGCCTGCTTTTGATCTTCAAATAAAAGAAAACAGAATGTTCTCTTTTGTATCTGGCTGTCTTCCACTCAACATTATATCTATTAGATTCATTCATCCATTTTTGCTTATAGCAATAGTTTGCTCTTGCTCATCAGTGCATCGTATTTTATTGTATAAGTATAATCTGCTTTATTAGCCCATTGTATGTGGTTGAATTGCTAGGCTTTTTAAATTTAGACTGTTATGGGTAAGTCTGCAGTAATGTTGGTGTACTTGTACTTTGGTGGACACAGTAATCATTAATGTTGGGGGTACGTCATGTAAAATAAAACATTTTTATGTCCTGTAGAATGAAGCCTTAATCTTTAAATCTGTCATTCTGATTCATAATCTTACTTATTAATGTATTAATAATATGTTACTGTAATAACACATAATTACTCTTTCTGTCTTCTGCAAAGAATAAATTATGAATTTTCTTGGTTACATCACAAGAACTAAAATTTGTAGTAACATTACTTGTGTCCAGAACAGATCCAAATTCCTTTCAGCATTAATTCTTTCATCCTGACCACAACTCTATGAAGCCAGTAACATTACTTTCCTCATTTTATATTCATGGAAGTGCTCATGGTTCTTCCTACTGTACCCGAGTCTGGGACTTAGTCCTCAGGTGCCATTCTTGGTCATGGTATCTTGTGGAACTTTTAAATTGTTTTCATTCTCTTTTTCTGACTCTTAATAGCTTTGGTGATCTATTCTTCACTTAAATCAATTGTATCAGGTGAATGGAGGTCTCTTGGGCCTCTCCACAGCCTGGTCACACATGACTATTACAGGAGGGGTACTATCTAATTCACTAAATAAACAAGGTCATTTTTTAGAATTAAAAAGGGATGTCACTATTAACAATTAGGCTTGCACAATAGTCACTGAAATGCTCCCAGAAAACCAAGACTCTGACTCATGGAGTCTCTTGGGACATCCATTTAAGGGCTGGAGATTCTATATCACCATAACAGGATGGCTTTATTTTACATAAGAAACAAGTGAAAGTAGCTGACTGCCACTGTCTATTGTTCTAAGTGTGGCCCTTCCCAGAAGACAGAATACATAAGTGACAAAGGAAAAGGACTTGTGAACGTCCCTATGAGGAGTTGGTTTCTCTTGGTGTCTACAAATTGTACTTGCTTTCTCTCCAGTGATTCTATCAAAGAGGAGAACATGTAGAATACATTACACACACACACACACACACACACACACACACACACACACACAAAAAAAAAAAAAAAAAAAAAAAAAAAAAAAGGGCCGAAACTGGTTTGGCTCAGTGGATAGAATGTCGGCCTGCAGACTGGAAGGTCCCGGGTTCGATTCCAGTCAAGGGCATGTACTTTGGTTGCAGGCACATCCCCAGGAGGGGGTGTGCAAGAGGCAGCTGATTGATGATTCTCTCTCATCGATGTTTCTAACTCTCTATCACTCTCTCTTCCTCTCTGTGAAAAATCAATAAAAATTTAAAAATTTTTTTTAAAAATAGGGAGTGCATATCTAGCATTGATTGGTGCAAAGACAGTCAAAGAATTATAACAGGATGTAATCATGGGCCCACCATTGCTGCCCTGAGGAAAGTAGGAGAACGAGGCTGTGGACACCACATGCCCTCCTTTAGGAAGCAGTCCCCCAAGCACACCCATGACCAATGGCTGTGCAGGGTTGACAACTGCCCCCTTTCTCCATCATGTCTCCTCCTAGGACCAAGTGAGCCAAGGCAGCTCAGGCACCTGGACTACCCAGACCTCAGGAACCTACCTTTCCCAGGAAAGGTTGTGCAGGGAACATCTGAATGTTGCTTACAGGAAAGTCCTCGACAGCTATTTGCTTTATAATTTTTTAAAATATATTTTATTGATATTACACAGAGAGGAA